AGTGTGTGTGTGTGTGTGTGTGTGTTGTCTACATGTGTGTACGCGCGCGCCTGCCCACGGAGGCCACAAGAGGGCGATGGATCTTAGGGTATCTCTAGATTTGAGAAAATACCAAAATGTTTTACAACGTGGCTGCACCATTTACATGCCTACCAAGCAGTGCCGAGCCTTCTCATTTCTTCAGCTCGCCACTAATATTTGTGGCTGTTGTTTTCACTCTATCTTGATCTTTGCTTTTTTAAAAAGATTTTAAATTTATGTGTATGAGTGGTTTTTTTACATATATATAGGTCCACCATATGCATGCAGTGTTTTCAGAGGGCATTAGATCTGTGACACCGACATTACAGACGGTTGTGAGCTGCCATGTGAATACTGGGAACCAAACCTGGGTCCTCTGCAAGAGCGTCTCTCCAGCCACACCTCCATCCTTCATTCTCCAGACACTGCCTTGTAGTGACTTCTAAGTCGTGACAGTCTCCTAGTTTGTCCTCTACCTCAGTTGCTGCTCTTTCTAAGCCCCTGCATATGTTTTTACCTCCTCCTCCTTCCCTTCCTCCTCTCCCTTTTCCTCCTTCTAGTCCTCTTCCATTTCTTTTTCTCAGGTTCTAAATGTTGGAATGACCCCAGGCTTTGTTTTGAGTCAGCTTTTCTATCCCAGGGCTTTGCTATGTGATGTTATCTTGTGTGTTTAAATACTATGTGTAAATTACTTCCCGTAGGTCTTTATCCCTGATCTCCATATATCCAACTGCTTACTTAACTCTTAGATTGTCTAATTCAAGACTTAATATTAACAAAACAAAAGTCATAAGAATGCCAGCCTCCTCTCTCAGCCTTCCAAACTTTAGACCATGAGTCTGCTTTCCCCATGGTTGGCCAACTGAGCCTCCCTGAGCTTGTCTTGACTGCTTTGTCTTACATGCTAGTCAAGACCAGCAGCAAATTCCTTGCCACCCCACTGTGTTTGAACTCATTACTTTTCATGTCTTCTTCCATGGGTTTGGTTCCCAACATCTCCCTCTCTGCTTGCGCTACTGAAGGAGACTGCTACTGATTTTCTTGCTTCTGTCCAGCTGTCCAGATCCACATAGAAGACACTCAAAGTTTTATAAATATTTATTTTTAATTATGTACATGCATGTGTGTCTGTCTGTGGGTGTGTGCACACGAATGCAGAGCATATATAGCCTGGAAGAGGACATTTGGGTCCCTGAAACTGGAGTGGAGCTGTGAGTCACCCCATATGGGGCAGTTCTGAGAGCCCAGCCTACGCCCTTTCCAGTCTCTCCAGCGGCAGTCTTGGAAGTTTTAAGAAATCATATCATGCTAGTTCCTGTTAAAGCCTTCCTGTGAGTCTATTGTTCTCTAAAACCTGTATTTGTGGGCCTGGTACACAAGGGCCTGCTCGTCCTGCCCTTGCTTAGCTCTCTTCTGAGTCTGGCTTTCCTGTTGCCCTGCAGGTGAGCTCAGCCCACTGAGCCTCCCGACCCACAACTGTCACTCTTGTGCCCACTCTTCTGAATTTTTTTAATTTCCCAGTTTAAAAACAAATGAGCTATTAGAGTCCTAACATATAGTTTCTTGGGCTGGAGAGATGGCTCAGAGGTTAAGAGCACTGGCTCTTCTTCCAGAGGTCCTGAGTTCAATTCCCAGCACCCACGTGGTGGCACACAACCATCTGTAATGAGATCTGGTGCCCTCTTCTGGCCTAAAGGGATACATGCAGGCAGAACACTATTCATAATAAATAAATTTAAAAAATAAATGTCTTAAACATATAATTTCAATTGTGGCCCATTTTAGAAGTTATAAAAGCCTTCAACTTTATCCACCGACTCATGAGTAAATTTTCTTGTGGATGGTGACCATCAAAAGAGGAAGACGTTATTATTAAAATGGCTTGATCAGGTATGTGCTATTTAAAACCTGCCCTTCCCCTTCCTCCCCTTCCCTTCCTTTCCTCCCCTCCACTGCCCACCCCTTCCCTTCCCTTTGTCCTTGCCTTGAAATCCAAAAGCCATTAGGTAGGAGACCTCTTCATTGGCCGAGGGTGCTGGTGGCAGCCCAGCATGTGGACTTCCCATACCTATGGACTTTTATAGATTAGGTCATTTTCATTTTGGCAGGTGGTGCTGTCTACACGCACAGTTTTACCGCCTGAATGGTGCTTCCATCATGGGGTCAGTTGTGTTAAGGTCTGGGGGCCTGTTGCATTCTGGACTGTGTCAAGCCTGAGACCTTTGCCCATGACCTTGGGCTCATAGAACCCGAAGGAGGCAGTGCTTCCTGCCTTGTACATGACCTCTAAAAAGGAGCGGGAGAAGGGTCACGTGCCCCTTCTCCCTGCTCCTGCCTGTGAGGTGGATTCGCCCCTGGTCAGATCAGAGGATGACTTCAGCTGTCTACTCTGTTCTGTATTCGTGAGTGTATTTCCTCAATTTACCTTAATAAAATTCCCTAATACTTCTTAAACATACTCCCATGGATTTATCACTTTATCTGGCACCCAACCACGTGGATCTGAACCCCATGAGCCCCTACTGGGACTACTGGTGGGACCAAACCCTAACACCCGTGGGTGGCTGCTGGGGAGGTTCTCCGCCCTGCAGAGCCTGCACAAACTGCCCCGCCCCTCCGGAACTGCCTGACTCCTGCTCAAGGGACCGCCTGAATACAGCGGCCATGCTGGGAGCCTGTAGGCCAGGCAGCGGTTCTTGTAACCACTGCCAAAAGCGTGCAGCGGATAGAGCACTGCAGCTCTGCGGCAGAGAGAGGAGCACTGCAGCTCTGCGGGGGATGATAGAGCACTGCAGTTCTGCAGCGGATAGAGCACTGCAGCTCTGCAGGGGATGATAGAGCACTGCAGTTCTGCAGAAGATAGAGCACTGCAGTTCTGTGGCAGAGAGAGGAGTGCTGCAGTTCTGCGGGGGATGATAGAGCACTGCAGTTCTGCGGGGGATGATAGAGCACTGCAGTTCTGCG